TGATAAATATTGTTATTTTTGTGTTAAAGGTACTGATTGTATCTGAAGATCCTGAGCTGCCATACATGCGGCCTCCTCTGTCAAAAGAACTGTGGTTTTCAGATGACCCAAATGTCACAAAGACACTGCGATTCAGACAGTGGAATGGAAAAGAGAGAAGGTGTGTACACCTCTGTAAAACAGTTCTGGCTGCCTACTTAAACCAAGCACAGGGAGTGGGTTATGAGTATATGCTATAGTAAGTAGGAGGGATGACTCACGTGCACACTGCAGTCAGCTATGGTGCACACTTAGTACAAATAGAGGCAAAAGGCCACATGGGCAAGAGTCCTGGATTCAGATACCAGGTCTACCAACAATTGAAGGTGTAATGCTGCCTTCTAGAGTACTCATGCTTCCTTTTCCAGGACCTTCATATTGGATTTCTCTAGTGAAAGTTCAGCCTGGCCTTTGTTCTCATGCCTTTATACTGGCCTAGACATATCCCCGTAACATGGCAAGAAAGGAAACCCTTTAATGGCACTTTCTTTGGCACCTTAGTAGGCTTTCAGGATTATGGAGGTAGAGTGGAAACACTGCCAGGAAGAACTCCTTTATTAAAATGTTGCACAAGGAACTTGAAGCCTTTTTCTTCTAAAGAACTCCTTAGATCTTTTGATTCTAATATCATGCATGCTCTTTGAGTTCCAATCTTTTTCCCATTCATAGTCCCTTTGATACTGGACTCAATTTTGCAGATCTCCCCACCTCCGTCACCCCAATGTCATGTTTCATTTTTTAAGCAGGATGCATACTTCAGTTCAGTTACCAAAACCAAACCCACAGCCATCGAGTCAATTCCAAATCATAGTAATCCTACAGGACAGAGTAGAACTGCCCCATGGAGTGTCCAAGACAGTAAATCTTTACAGAACCAGACTGCCTTATCTTTCTCCCCTGGGGCATCTGGTGGTTTCAAATCACTGATCTTTTGGGTTGCAACTGAGTGCTTTAACCATTGTGCCACCACAGCCCCTTCCAATTAAATTAGCCATCCCTTAATTAATATCTGCTTCCGTAGTGATACTGCCTATGAAACCCAAGGAGGGGTCGCTATGAGTTGGGGTCGACTCGACAGCACATAACAACAACATAATTAGTATCTCATAGTTAATTTCTATTCTTTGCAAAATCATCTCAGGAGGTAGATGTAGTCTTTCCATTGACCAGCCCAATTATAGACAACTTGTTTGGTAGATAGGTGAAGGCCAGCTCCTTGGTTGCACTTCTTTTTCTTCCTTTGAAATGAGCCTAAATCCAGAGCAAGATTTCTCACCTTAAGTACCATTGACATTTAAGGCTAGGTAATTGTTTGTTGTGGGTGGTGTTCTGTGCATTATAGGATGTTTAGCAGCATCCCTGGCCTCTATCCGCTAGATGCCAGTAGCACCCCTCCTCCTTGTGACAATGAAAAATGTTGCCAGATACTGCCAAATATTTCCTGGTGGGAAAGTTGCCCCCAGTTGAGAACCACCGATCTAGAATACCTCTGTATAAGCAAGATTTACTGGTCTGCGGAAACTTTGCCTAAAATTATTTTCACGATGGAAACAGTTTTACTTAAGCTATGGTGTAAGCCGATAGGAATTCCAGGTTCATGTAACATTTCCACCCTCTTCTCTG